ATTCTCAGATAGCACTGGGATTTCTAGACATTTGTTGAATTCAGGTTTCCGCTGGTGGCACCCTTCTCATTCCCTCTTTCTTACTGTGGACACATTTCTTTTTTATTAATCTACTGCCATTTTGATGGCTTTCACAGAGTAATGTGAATATCTGTTGCTCAGCCTGCCATCTTGAACCAGAAGACAGCTTATGCTTCCTCAAGAAGAAAATGTGCTCTTAGCTCTGCTGAGACTCAAGTATGAAACTGTAGCAATACTTCAGAGCTTTTCCAGACTGGTTAGGGGAAAAAAGCATGTGCTGAGAGAGATAAGTAATCCCGTTCCCTTGTTGGAGCCCGGGGGAGAAGTACTTGGCAAATAAACTATAGTGTTTGGGCAGTTCTCACTTGACTCTATATTTTTGTGACTATTTTTTAAAAAGTTATTTTTAACTAGTTGGGAGGAAAAAAGGGAGTATCTTGGGGAAATTAAAAGCCAACATTTTTATATTTCTTAAGTAAATTTGTGCCATGATGAACTTTAAAAATTGAAATGAAGGGAAGAGGGAGAAAAGGGAACCTTACTTGGTTAGAGAAAGAGGAACACAAACTAGAGGTGTTAGATGATCTAATATGTGCACATTCAGTATTGGCCTGTTTCATTGTGAGTACATGATATCTTAGTGTGTATGCAGTTTCTTCTAAATGCTTCTTCATTTATCTAGTCACTCCTTGTTTGTTAATTCAATAATTATAATTTTCTTCTGTATGGCAGAGATCCCCTTTTGGCACCAAGGACTGGTTTCATGGAAGACAGTTTTTCTAGGGACGGTGGAGGGTGGGGGGATGGGGCAGGAGGCAGAACTCAGGGGGTGATCCTGTGTGGCCTGGGGTTTGGGGACCACCATTGTAGGGAATATCCTTCTGTTTTGTCCAAACAAACGGCACAGAAGAAAACATAAGCCCAAATACCAAAAGTCCTGGCTTATATAGATGTTACCAGTGGGTTAAAAACAACATAAATCAGTATTCTTGGCCTGGATATGCACAACGGCATCGAGGCACATCAAAAGTGGCTATTTCCTTAGAAAATGTGAGTAGCCTGGATAGTGTTTGAACCCATTCTTCTGAGTAAGGTATCACAAGATTGGAGAAGCAAGAATCTAGCGTACTCAGTTCTAATATGAAGCCAGCAGATGATCTAATACATGCCCACAAAAGAGAAAAACTCAAATCAATTCAAGGTGGGGGGCGGGGGAACAAGGAAAGGGGAGAAGAGGGGGGAGTGGGATTAGTGTGTACGGCGCACCTCTTGGGTGCGGGGCACAATTATAAGAGAGACTTTACCTAACAAATGCAATCAATGTAACCTAATTCTTTGTACATTCAATGAGCCTGGACCAATAAATTAAAAATAAATAGATAAATAAATAATTGGTTGGTTGGGGGGAAAAAAGAAAATGTGAGTAGAAGGAAAAACAAGGAAAATGGATTCATATTAGCTTCTGAATGGAGTCAGCAAATAGCATTATTACCCTGAATATTATAATTCTTTCAGCATTTTATTTCAGATAAAACATACACAGTATCATTTGGACATCAAAAATATGAGAACTTAGTTTATGTAAGAGTGGGACCCAGAATGTCTGACTTCGCCTGAGTAACTCATTTAACCCTTCAGAGTTCAGTCCATGTTGATTAAAATGTCTAATAATTTTGCACGATTTTATTGCTACAAAATCTATAATTTTTTTAAGTACTTGTTGAATGATAGCTATTTGCAGGCCCTTTCGAAAATGCTAAGATACATATCACCATCCCTGGCCTTCAGAATATTCAAGGCATACTCAAATATTTGCATCTCACAGCGTTATATTGTAAAAACTATATAGAAGAGTCAGTTAAGTGAAAGGATAGAGAATTTTATAATTGGAGCAACTGAGGATGATTCCATAAAGGATTGTTTGAACTATGCTTTGAAGTTTAAGTAAGATTTTAATGTACAGCCAGAACCAGGAGAGTATGTCCTTGACCAGAATAATCTGAAATACAGAGATGAGAAAATATTCAGAGAATTACAAGTCAGTTCGTTTTACTAATGCAGGGGTTGTGTTTTAGAGTAGTCAGAAAGGAAATGGGGAATATAAGTAAAGGTAAGATTATGAAGGATCTCGTTGAAAACTTCAGAGGCAGGAGACTAATAGGCTAAGGTTTAAGGAGAGAATATGCAGGTATGGAAGAAGTTGCCGAGTAGGAAGGAGAACCTGAAAACTGTACTTTATAAAATTAATAAAAGGTCATAAAGCGGGATCTGTGATAAGGGCCTGAAATCTGCAAAGGTATAGGCATAATTTTATTTTATTTTGCACTTTTTGCCCAGGGCCAAGTTTAAACCCACCACCTCTGGTATATGGGGCCGGTGCCCTACTCCTCTGAGTCACAGGCACTGCCCAGCATAATTTTAATTTTATACAGACACACACACATAGATGCATATACAGATATAGACGTATATTATGTGAAATACCAGCCATTGTTCCTAGCTTACGGTCCTATAGTTGCTTATTACTTAAGAGTAACATAGCTGATGATCATAAAGATTCTTTGCTTTTTTTCTTCATTGCTCCCGTAAATAACATCACCCTTGTAAAACCTAAGGCTAGTCTTTGAGATATCTTCCAGACCCGGCATTCCAGTGGGGTGACTGACCCGGCCAGACCAGTGGCTCATACCAAAAAACTAACTCAACTGGTCCTGCGACCTGGGAAACAACTCAGCTCAAGAAGACAATTCTGCTTTTGCTTCCCAGCCCTATGAGTTCATCTCCAGACAGTGAGCAGATCTAATTCCCTAGCCTTTTGCCCACCAAACTGTCTTTAAAAATCCTGGCTTGGGCTGGGCATGGTGGCTCACATCTTTAATTCTAGCATTTTGGGAAGCTGAGGTGGGAGGATCATTGGAGGCCAAGAGTTCAAGACCAAGTCCTGCAACAGCAAGATCCTGTTTCTACAAAAAGAAAGTGAAAAATTAGTGGTGTGTGGTAGTATGCTCCTATCATCCCAGCTACTCAGTAGGCTGAGGGAGGAGGATCTCTTGAGGCGAGGAGTTGGAGGCTGCAGTGAGTTATGAACCATTCTGCTCTAACCTAGGCAAAAGATTTTAAAAACAAACAAAAACCATAGCCCAGAAATTCTTGGGGGGACAGATTTGAGAAAGTTCTCCTATGTGGCATCCTGCAATATTAAACCCTTTCCTGCTGTAACCCCTGCTGTCTCAATGTATTATCTTCCTGTTGAGCAGCAGGCAGTGAGCCTGGTTGAGCGATAACAGTTTGATGCTGAAATGTAGTTAAGATCTGAAGGAGAGCCATGGTATAATTCAGTAAAATGGATGGCACAGAGGAAAGAGAGATTATGAAGAATGTACAAGATTCAGTAACTCATTTGGGTAATATTAAGGATTAGACCTGGTGTGACTGGAAAAATGGAGGAACCTTTAATAAAAATCAGCAGTTTAATGGGAAAAGTTGATTTTTGTGAATTAATATAATACACGAATTCCCCATATTTTGACAGGTCTGTCCCTCCTACGCCACAGCTATTTTGGTATAATAGCAAAGAGATGACATGTTTTGTGACTCCTTATCTAAGACTCCTTTTCTTGCAAAGCCATTTCTATGGATATTCATTAAATTATTGTCAAGTATTTATGACTCTCAATGGCCTATGTACTAATTTGGGGTGAGGGTGCATATGCTAGAATTTTAAAAAGCATTCTTTCCAAGTATCATGAAGAATAGCCAGCATTTACTGGTTTGTAAGAGCCAGAATTTTACTTTAGATTTGGAAAAGCAGTTCACTTGCAAATTATACCTTGCAAAATTGTAATAATGGAAAATGAAATCAAATGAAGTTGGTAAAGTGCACCGACTCAATTCGGTGCTAGAAAAGTGCACGGGGAACGTTGAAGGGGTAATAAGTGATAGAATTATTACCACAGAGAGAAGACACGTCAGTACAGGGTAGTTCTAATTAAAATGCTGTTGTTTTGCTTTCATAGTTTCTGTGATTGAACTAGGCTGCACTTCATCCAATTCAAAAGAGAAATAATCTGCTCTTTCTTGAGTGGTGAGGGAGAGAGGAAATGAAAGAACCATTTAGAAATAGTGAGGAGCAAGCTTAGGAGGAAAAAATGGGAAGATGCTGTAGAAATGTTAAAATGACTTTGAAATAATAATTTGATATTTTAAAGAGTGTAGGCAGTTGTGATTTTTTTTCCCCCTGCATCTCACCAGACAGCAGAAAAGTTGTCCCCAAATTACAGACTTCCGCCCGCGTGGAGGATTTCGCTGTGTTGGGTGACCTGCACTGGAGACAGGTTAATAACCATGCTTTTATGGAAGATGTCTTACTTTCACAATAAATGGTCTCCTTTTGCAATGGATTTTGAAGTTTTGTTATTTTGCCTATGTAAAGATCTGGTTATATGTAATTATTTAGTTGCCTTTAGGATCACGGAATTGAGAGGGATGAAGCTGGTTCCATATTTCTCTAAGTACACTAGTCATCTGTACTTACAAAGGAAGGGTTCTAGGACCAGTTAGGTTGAGAAACTAACTGGTTAGGGTCAAACACATTAAGGGAGATTTTTATTAAAATAGTTACAACCTTTTACAAGACAAGGCTGTGGTTGTTTTTTTTGAAACTTTGTGTGAGTGTCTGTAGCAAAGTGGAAGTGGAATTGCTGGGTCAAAGAATATGCACGCTGAAATTTTTCTAAGTATTACCACATTGCCTTTTTTAAAAAATGGTAATAGTTTATTCTCCCACTGCCAGCATTACAATAGAAAACTTCAAAATGGTGTGTTTCACTGAACTAAAAAAAAAAAAAGAACAGGCTTCGTACTTTTGTAATGGGTAATAGAATATCTGGCTTTGTTAATCTTAGAATTATGGAGATAATTTATAAAGCAGCCATAATGATGCTCTCTTTCTTTCTCTCTCTCTCTCCTGCTCTTTACAGAGCAAACTATTCATGGAAGGATTTAGAAGCCTAAAAGAAGGAGAACCAGTGGAATTCACATTTAAAAAATCTTCCAAAGGCCTTGAATCAATACGGGTAACAGGACCTGGTGGGAGCCCCTGTTTAGGAAGCGAAAGAAGACCCAAAGGGAAGACACTACAGAAAAGAAAACCAAAGGGAGATAGGTAATCATTTTACTGTGTTAATTTGTGAGTTGATTGTATTTGGAAAAGATTTCCAAAAATGTCGTTACATTTTACATTATTGGATTTAGCCAAAAGAAAATGGCACCTGCGTGTACGTGAATAGAATGTCTCAGGAATAGAGCTGTCTCGCAATGTGAATTAACTAGAGTGTACCGAACTGAGCATTCAGTGTTAAGCACTAACCATTCTCTTGACCATTCCCACCAGACTGTTCTGAAACCACAAAGGAAGAGTTTAAGATCCCACTAGGCCAAGAGGCCTCTCCAAACATCCCAAATTTGCTAGTGCCCACCTATAAAAACTACA